GTATCTTTGTGCAGTTTACCTCTGGTATGTTGATAATTCACGTTCTTTGAAGAGTTTCTGGACTTTGGGTTTGAAAAACCTCATTACCATCACCCTAATCTTCAGCTCCCTTCACATATCCTCAGTCAAATTTAAGTCCCGATTCTTCCTTTACTTCTACAAAACGGTTATTTCCAGTTAGAAGAAACATGCTGGTAGAAGGAAAAGATGCCCTAAACTTTGCTTGTTAAACTAAATTGGATCTTAACAGTTTGCCAAGATTGTTGCTGTAAATCTCAGAAAGGATCACATGGAGAAGGTTGATGGAGGTGAACTGAAATCTATGCAACTCTAAATTATTCACTTTCAATGTTGTACTATATTATTTACATTTTTCTTCTTCTTTCATGCATTGTTTTCTTCTTTGTTAGCATTTAGAACATATTTAACTCTCCCAATACTTATACTAACAGCATAAATTAGGAGATTTAATTGTGTTTAATCTATGGAGATTATCACCAGAGTTTTTTTTGTTTTTTGCTTCACCCTTCTCCACTGGACAACTGTTTCTTTTATTTTTTTTTTTGATAATGAAAAATAATTCTTTCGACATTTTCATCTTGGTTCCACTAAAGGTAACAGCAGCATCACAGATATACAGGATTAAGTTTTAGGAAACAGATTGAAACAGTTTATGCTTAAAGATGAAAGGAATCGTTTATGATGGTCTTTCTGAGCAGATCCGCAGACAGCCTCCTCCTCTTCTTCTTCATCTACTGTACTGGAGACTCCCACATTGTTTGAATAAAACAAAAGGAAAAGACCAACATAGCCGATCCTTATGTCTTTAGATTTTACAACCAATGAAAAGCTGCGTTGACAGCTTAACAGTTGCTCTGGGTTTTGTGGTGGTGGTGGGGGGGACCATTGCAAAGTCTTTCAGCTGGATTTTTAAGTGCAGGTGGCGCTCAGTAAAAACATATCAGAGAAGAATGGTGGAAAGTTTATTACAGAAAGATGTCATGGCGCAGTGATATGGTTCTGAGGAGATGGTCGACAATGGGGGGGGGGCAAAGAAGGAAAGCAGAGTTACAGCAGCGGCTGCTGTTGTAAATAAAGCCACTGCTGGAGAGGGGCTTGGTTTATAAGGTCATTTAAAGGAGTAATGTGGCGCACTGTCTGGAATTGGCTTTCATTAAAAGAGCCATCGAGAGCGACAGGAAGTGGGAAAGAGCGAGGATCTGTGTGTGTCTGCGGTTAGGCAGCACTTCCATCACACACACAAACACTCATGCACACTTTTCTTTGTATCCTCTTGCAGTTTGTGATTCCCCAGCTCCCAGTATTTTATATCCCCACTGGGAAAAGCAACAATGACCGCCACATTAACAACTTTGTGGCACCACCACTAAATAGTGCACCGAGTCTTTGCCATTATGAGCTCAGGAACAATTGGGAAAGAGACCATCACTATTACAACACAGGGCAGTGATAAGATCCATCACATTGCCATGATTTATGCAAACCATTGTCTGTAATAACAGGCCGAATGATTTATGGAATGGGAAGTAGGAATGCTATGGGACCCCAGTGATATTGGGAACATACGTTCTTTCCCTGTCTCTGTGTTTTTTCTATTTTTTGAAATCATAAAGTTAATGAAAGGGATCGCATGGGATCTCGCTCTCAGCCTCATATCCATCATCTGTTGGCCTGTGCACGCTTCTTTTCCACCTCTATCCTCCCTGGGTAATCAAAGACACCCATGTACTTAATTCTGTCTTCCTTTTATCGCCCCTTTAAGATGAGATCCACACTCTGGTTCAGTTTGACAGTAATGCATAGCAAGCGTCTGCCGCCGGATTCCATCTACTCAGTAAAATGTCCTTGCCTATTCACCCTGTGTGTGTCTTCAATTACACTTTTCCTCCACTCATCCATCCCGACTGCACTTCCAGGAGATGACCTCCTCCTTCTCTCTTCCCTTCCAGGTTCCTTCGATGCTCATTTGCATCATTTCATCTATCTTTCTCTCTGGGCTCAAAGCCAGCCACAAAGCTACTGTAGCTACTATATTGACTTGAAACTCTGGGAGTATCTGCTTGTTTCTGCTACATAATGAATAAATGTGATGCTCCTAGAGGGATGATAATGGTGGAAAATCAGAGAGTATGGAGGGAAAAGAAGGGCTGGATCCAATAAGACTGAAAAAGATGGCTTGTTTTCTGTCTCTGTGCTTAGAAGAGATATTCTTCAAGCCTTTATTTGGTTAAGAAACTTGGTCACAAAAATCAGTACAGCACATCAGTATTTTTTATAGTTATTCATTCTGTGAAAGATCTGTAGAAAATGTAATAATAAATCAAACATGTTTTGTTGTTAAAGAAGGCCGGATCACTCGCTTTGTCAGTTCTTATCCTCCTTTCATTTATCCGTCTGAATCAAAGGTCTCTGATCAAATATCTAAAAGGCAAAGGCAGAAACAAAAGCTTTATCTGCTAAATGAACACATGTAAACAAAGAATTCTTTCCATCATTTTGGCCTGGAGTTTATTGAATCCTCAACCATGGTCCTTAATATTTTAGGTTTAGGAGGGAATGTGTTCACTTTAACAGCTGCAGTGGAGCAGACTAGGAATGGTCTGATCAGCAAAGGTGTTTAGAGTACCCAAAAATCGTGTTTAAAGGTATAGTGGAGGATGTTCTTTTTCTGGGTGGATCACCTTAATAAGTGGTCCTCCTAATTGTCAATCATTCTGGTGATATGTTTACATAAAGCCATCCTACGTCCTCATCCCCATTTTCACTTACAGGTAGTGAGCCTGATATAGCGGAAAAATTGCTAATCTTTTGGAAAGTAAGCTTGTATGAACGATGCAAGGAGCAACTTTTAAACAGAGCGTGCACGAGGACAAATGGGCTTGTGCATGCTCTCACATGCGTTTAATAGTCGTTCCCTCTCGGGAGCGGGTACAGGGTTGTGCTTTTTTTTTTTAAAGTGGAGAGGGCGGGTCTTCACAAAAAATTGCGAAAATCTTCCAAAATACCTTTAATTAAGAGTAGCACTACTTCATCATATTTTTACTGAAGTCAAAGTAAAAAGTGACCTTTAAAGAAATGACTCAAGAGTTAAAAAGTTTTTGGTAGAAAGGTTACTCAAGTACTGAGTAACTGATCTACTTACTAACCGCCATCATAACAACTGATTTAATGTTTAACAAAATGATGCAGAATTTAACAAAATATTGAATGATTTACAAACTCTGGTGGTTCAAAGATTAAAATAAAAAAATAAACATATAGGATCCGGTAATTACACAATAAAATTTTTAGGTGGGGTGAACACTTCAAAATGCATTTTCTGAGTGACAAAAGTAACAGTTTGTTAATGTAGGTTTCATTATAGTATACTGTTTACTGTATTTTTACTGACTCAAGACTCAAGAAATGGAAAATAACATGTAACCAATACAATAATAAATAAACTTTTTTTTATTACATTACTCACAATGTATGGAGTAGCCAGAAATTTTACTCAAGTAAGAGCAGCGATATGTTATCATACTTTAACTTAAAGTAAAAAGTACAGTGCTGCAAAACTACTAAAATGTATTTATTTTTTTCAAAATGTCACTGAAGTAAATGTAACTGAGTAAATTTAACTAGTTTCAGCCCAGTTATATATAAACCGAAAAACAATTATTGGAATATATCAGCCTGCATCTAAAATCTGAGATGTGAACGAGCCAGTTATTCTCCTAGAGGTTAACTATTGTTTTCTGTTTAAGTAAAACACTTGATTAAGACCTTACTAAAAATCCACACTGATATCGATATCAGATCATTATCAATATTAGTCAATAATCAAAGCTGTGATATCAGCATGGTATCGGAATTGGAAAAATTGCATCAAGGCGCCCCGAACAGAGACATATCTAAATCATACAGGAGCAGGGTTAGTTTTGTCCACAAACCTCATTATAAACACGAGGAATGTAGTGCATTGTTTAAATTAAGTTCCTTTTGTTGTGATGATGGTGTTTTTAATGGTCCAATAAGTTCTCAGGCACACATCTGGCCCCAAAAGGTCTGTCTGCTTTTAATTTAACCTGTAATCAGCCTGTTTGTTTGGTTCCAATCTACAGCCCTGCTGCTTAGACCTTCAGGTTACAATCTCAACCTTGGTGCACTCAGACAGGGAAGAAAAAGAGCCTTTAAATATCTGGTTTCAACAGTCTGTGCACTTTGACATGATGAGATGCGAATCAGGCGGCTTCTCAGATTTGGGTTCTTCGGTGAAGAAAAGTTAAATGCAGCGTTGACACTTGCAGCACATATGTGCGTTCCAACACCCATGCCCACTTTGTTGCAGAGCAACTCTGCGAACATATGCCAGCAATCTGTCCGTCACACTTTGAAACACACTCCTGCGAATATCTTGAAATACAACCGCACACTGTAAGGCCCAGTGGGGCAATGTTGTGAACCATCTGTCATCAGCTTTAACTGAAGTGGAGGGGCTAAACTCGCACACTTGATCTTGTTTCGTAGGTAACTTCTGTAGCCTATCATCAGTTCGGTGCATCCAGGGTGATACGCACATGCTGACACACACACCTTCCTGTCACATTGATGAAACAAGGCCCTGCTCAACAGGCTCTGCAGACCAGAGGATCTCCTTTCTCATAAGCGTCTTTCTCCTCTGCCTCCTGTTGCTGTTCCGAGGTCAGCCGTCAATCAGGCGCTGTCGCCACAGCCACCTGTCAGGAGTCCCAGCATGCTTTGCAAGTCTTCAGCCGGTGCATGCTTGACTGGAGGCTGTCACACACGGCTGAACCTGGAGTTGCTGTCCAGAACACAGACATGCACATAACAAGCACTCACAAACAAACCTCGACTCTCAGAAGAATACATACTTCCGTTTGCTTTAATGTATGATTTTTCCTGTTGTACATCGAGATAATGATCCTTTCCCTTAAAATCTTAGTTCCTGATTATTATTTTTTTTCGTTTCTATGCAGGTGGTGAGGGTTCCAGTAGAGAGCTGCGAGCAGTACACCACTTGTGGGGAGTGTTTGGGCTCCAGAGACCCTCACTGTGGCTGGTGTGTTCTCCACAACATGTAAGTTCTTCACACACATCAACACCCTGACACACAACCCTGCTACCTTTTATATTAACTGTTGGAACGTACTTAGATGTTCAAATATAGAAGATACTGCCAATTCGTGGAAGATGTGAGAAATCAACACATCCTCTACAAGGCATTTTCTCTTGCATAAACGTTAAGTAAAGTTATTTGTCACTAAAACTAACAACAATTTTTAGGATTTAGTAATCAGTATTTAGTTTTACCATTTCACCCTTAAAAGGAAGCATAACATAACTGAACCCCAGTCGGCCGCTCACACGGAGACAGGTTCTGCTGGAGGTTTCTTCCTGTTAAAAGGGAGTTTTTCCTCTCCACTGTCACTACAAGCATGCTTAGTGTGAGGGATTGCCTTCAAGTCAATGAGTTGATGCAATCAACTGGTTTTCCTTAGATAGAAAACTTTGAATCAATTTGACTGGATGATCTGGTTTCTCTAAAGTACCTTAAGATGACATGTGTTGTGGATTTGCGCTATAGAAATAACTTGAATTGAATTGAAGACATTTTCTTAATATCTCTGCAGAAATATATCCTAGAAAGGAAAAGTTCTGCCAGTGTCTGAAATCCCGGAAAATTTAGTTTTGGCAATTTCTAGCCATTTCCCCCCAGTTTTATAATACTCAAATGCAATTCCTGGAGAGATGTGAATTGTCAAGAAAATGGTGATACGGTACGATTTATCCAGATATTGACCACCTGATACATTAACAAAGATTTGCAATTTTTTCCAATGATATAACTCTGGAATATTAAGCTCTTGGGCGGTGAGCTGCCATCTAGGGTTTGGACAGACATAGGGGTTAGGACAATGACATAAATCTTTTTCTATTAATATTTATTACATATAAGAACAATTTAGTTGTTATTTAAAATAATTTTCTAATCATCTAATAAAATATTGCAATATTTGACAGGATTGTTTTGTTTTTTTCTTACACCCCTAATTTATTGGAAGTTTCACAGGCAGAAATGATTAGAGGGGAATGATGTTCCAGCCTTAAAGGAAAGTCATGTAATCTAACCCGGAGGAAAAATGTATCCTATAGTTAGTAATAAGTAACTAGTTCTCTTTTTATAAACCACTTAAATAAGATCTAATTGGACTGAAAATCACTTTATTTAGCCTCTTGTCAGATATCAGCTTGCATTCAATAGCTGCTCACTACTACAGCCAGTCTATTACAGCCTCGTCTGTCTGACGGATACCGTCACTTATTGTTTTATGATCTTTTAATTTAAATGCTCTTTGAAGGGTTACTTGTTCTGATTACAATAAACATACATGAACAACTTTTGCTTCAACACAAGCATTGACAGGAGGGTTGAAAAGCAAAACATTATAAGCAGCCCAAACATAAACCATTAGCTGAAGGGAATGTCTATAACATGCTTTAGTTTAAGCTGAGCTCAACCTTTTCTAACCAGCAGCAAACATTTGTGACAAAAAAATGTCAGAAGTCCCATGATTTTATCAATAGCTAGTTAACGGTACGGACCCCCGCTCCCAAAACCCCACAGGAGGTCTGCAACAGGTGGTCTGCAGCTGCTTGTCACATTGTTTCTGTGAAATAAATAACGTTAGAGTTCAGGATCCATATGCTGGGACTCGTCACTATGATAAACGACTTGCAGACTTTACCCTGACTTCAAAAAAGGGTGGATGTGTGCACCTCTGAGGAGACTTGGCAGATCTCTGGAGATCCCAAGAGGTGTTTACCTGAATGAGTCAGGTTTAAAAAAAAAAGTATTACTGTCAGTTTTTAGTCATTGATATTTAATAATTTTTTTTTTTTTTCTAAAATCCTATTAAATTGAACAAAACTGACAGTTTTTTGTTAACGCCCTTTTAAATGTTCCTCTAAGAGAATAAAACCCCGTAAATCTGTCAGCTGTGTAAATCTGTTGTTGACGCAGAAATAAAATCACAGCTTGGCCTTCTCTCTGACACCTTTGTTTTCCTTTGCTGGGTTTATTTTTCCTGGTGTGAACACAGTTTAGCACACCTGCAGTGCTTCACCTTAGGTGTTATTTTGGGATTTGTTACGTCCTGTTTTGCTTCAATATTTCACTGTAAGGCTGGAAATTGGACTTACTAATTGGACTTCTGCTCCTGCAGGTTTGCTAAATATAGCGTGACACATGCAATAACGCTGATGAGGTTTTGCAAAAGTATTTAGATGCACAGATTGTTTGTCACAATGAAAGCAAAATATTCAATGTCTGCTACTGTAACAGTAAGTGGGAGGAAAATGGAAGTGATCTACATTGAACCTGTTATAATGCCCTTCTTGAAGAGTTACTCAGTATCAGTGAGAGTAGATGAAAAGAGTCTCTGAACGACCAACTTCAAGACTGAATTGATTTCAGGTGCAGTCCTAGACAGGGCTTTTGTAAACATGGTCTTGCATTACTGGTTATCTGCAGAATGGTTGTCTTACTCCATGGCTGATTTTATTGGGACTTTTTACAGCTTTCTGTCGTTATTCACCTCCTCTTGCCGCTGCTTTTTAAAAGGCAGAGTAGAGACGTGTGTGGTTAATAATTGAGCTTTCAACAGATAATAAGCTGTGAATCTCTGCAGCTCCTCCAGAGTTTACACTTCTTACACTGAAATTCCACATCCTCCAACGACAGCCTCCGCGGTTCCTCCCATCCTGATCTGCTCCAACTTCCTTGGAGCTCAAAAAGAGCATGCACAATATTATTATTATATTCAAAGGAGCAAAACTTGCAGTAATAATCGTATAATTTAATATGACAAAATTAAAACCCACCATCAGCATCAATCTGCATGTTTTTATCCAAACATTAAATTTTTGTTGTGGGTCTTTGTGTTGGGGATAATTAGGATCATACAAAAATGGTTTGTTCTCTACTTCCAAACTCAGCATCTCTTCATCCAGGCCTCTGTTTGTTTTGAAGTTGTGAGATGCGTTCTTGGAAGTTGTTGCGACTGGATTTGATTAAACTTTTAGGCCTCATGCTATAAAATAAATACTTTGATCGAGTTGAGAAATCTCCTTCCTGGTATATTAAAATAGTTTGCATCCAATAATTTAAACAAACGGTCTCAGTTTTTGGGAATATATAAGAATTATGCTCTAATTTGTAGTTACCGATCCGTCGTTACCATGTTTCAATTTGACAAACTGGATCTTCTCGACGTTCTTTTGACTGTTTGGTGGGATTACAATTACGCATCTTGACCTGACAGGCTCGATGTACGTGGGCGGGACAGAGCGGAGCGGAACGGATGATGTGGAATCTGGGGAATAAGAATGAGACTAATTGAACCGCTAGATTATGATCAGTGGAATCATATTAAAAGAGAATAAAAACAAATGCTCGCCAAAGTTTTAATAATTTCATTAGTTTTATGTTTTTCCTTACAGTCTTCAACAATGCATGTTTGTTTTTTGACCTAACATATACATTTTTATGATTTGCTGTGTAAATGTGAAAAAAGAATGAATTGACAAAAAGTGCACGGGACTCCTTAAGGTATATTACCAGTTTCACTGTTTTCTGACAGTGTTAAACACTATTTGGGTAGCCTCAAACGCTTGTCTTAAAACCATGTCTCGTGTTAATGATTAAACTTACAGCATTTATCCCCATCCTCTCTTTCCTGGAGGCGCACACAGCATCATCATCACAGACTTTAACTAGTTACAACCTTCCTTTTCGGCTCATGTTAACCTTGTGTCTCTAAGTCAGCTTGTTCATGTTCCATAATTTGTCCAAACTTCTTACTTTGACAAAATATAAATGGGTAAAATTGTTTTGTTTTAGCTGTCTGGTGCTTCCAGCTATTTGTTAAGAGCTGCCGTGTTGACGATGTTTCCCTCACAGATGCAGGTGTTTCCAGACAATACTGCAGACTTCCTTTAAGATGTTACATGGCCACCATCGCAGGAGCAGTAAAAGGAAAAAGGGGTTCATAATGAGAAAACCTGTCCATAACTTAGCAGAGCTCTGCTATGTATGTGTGTGTGTGTGTGTCAGGGATTCCCAGGGGAGTGGTTGGCGACAGCGTTTTCCCCTCTGAGCGTGAGCGAAAGCTAACTAAATGAGGGAACGTCGGGAGCTGCTGTAAGGAGCAGGCAGTTAGCATTTTTTTTCTGCCTCTGTCATGTTGTTAAGGCCTTGCAGAGCGCCGCATCAGCACTTTCTTCTTACTGCTGGGACCAGTTGTTGTTAGCACATAGGTGAAGTGAATGCATCATGAATAGCTAATAGCAAGGCTGCCACAAAAACCTGAGGTCTATGCTGATTTTTAGCACGATCAGTTGGATTGTAATAAGGCAGGCGAAGGTGGAGCGCGGCTCATGTGGGGCTTGCTGGAATTGCTTTTTATCGGTCCATAGTAACGTTGGAGATTGCCCGTATGTCTCCAGAGAAGTTTGATTAAGATTGACCTCAAAAGTAAAAAGAGGTTTTTGCACCTTAGCAGTTTTTATACAGGAAATAGGATGATCGTGAAAAGCCTTATGGTGTTTGTGTTTTTTTGTATTATATTTTGGCTGCATGTTTGTATTAATAACGTTTTTATTTAACAGTATTAAAATCCTCTTTGTCCTCCCCAATCCTCCCTCATTCCTCTTCATTACCTTCCATTTCCTTTGCTTCCTCTCTTCTCACCTTCCTTTCCTCACCTTGGTGCTGCTTCCCAGATGTTCTCGTAAGGACCGTTGTGAACGAGCAACCGAGCCCCAGAGGTTTGCATCTGACCAGAGAGAGTGCGTGGAGCTTACAGTTCAGCCAAGAAATATATCTGTCACCATGTCTGAAGTTCAGGTATGTATGCATTCTCCTGGCCTGTATCCCAGCTGTGTTTATGTTTTAACCATCAAGAGTTTCCCTTGGATTTTAGAACAGCACTCTGTTCTAATGAAAGGTTCATGTTAGTGAACAAGGTGGTGATTCTCATTGTTTAATTTTTCTTTTAGATGAGGTATTATTTTTCTTTTTTTAAGCTGGATGTTTAAATCAACCCTGCTGATGTTTCGATGCTGGGTTTGTTGAAAAATGTTGCCTGCAACCAAACATGAGAACACAGGTTTCATATTTAGACTTGATTTCAACTTTGTGACAAAAACAAAGGCTAAAAACACAACTTGGATTCATGCTCTAAAGACTTGAGACATCAGTCACATCCATAGTCTCACAAGGAATCTTAGACATGCTTAGACAAACTTTGTCATTTTGTATACATAGGTTGTATACAAAACAACATTTCAATGCATACAGCTTTTTGACAGTGAATGAGCAGCTTAGAACAGTGAAATGAACATTTCCATTTATAAAGTGCAGCATTAATCAGAAGAAAATGGTGCAAATGCAGTAGAGCTTTGAGTTGAGTTTTATTTAAAGGGATTTGAAAAATTTGGCATGTAGTGCAAATATGATGTTTAAAGGTGTGATGCATTTTATTTTGTTTTTGATCTGATTGCTATGCTGATTTAGCCAAGAGGGTTTATAGATGGTGGCCATTTAGACAATGACAATCTGTTTATGTTAGCTATCGCTCCCTATTGATCCACGCTCTCATAATGAATTTTTTCTTAAATGACTGAAGCGAATAGGAATGACTTTACTGAATTCTCCTTCTGTCAGAAATTAAAGGCACTTTCTGCAGCTTTCATTTTGAAATTCAACTGTTTCATTTAAGTCTGAATTAGTAACTTGCATCAGAACATCCCTACTGCTAAGCCTTAACCATTTAGTCGGTTCTCTAGTATTTTTTAAATACTAGAAAAAGATTTTGAGTAAGAAAAGGCTTCCAATCAGATCCAAAGGGACATAACAGCTAACTTTAAAGTGGAGATTAATATGGAACGTTATTTTAAAGGCAATGGCGGTTTTTCAAAATAAAAGCCTGCTTCAAAATATTTTGGCTACTAGTGTATTTATTAACTAAATGATTCCTGCCATTCCTGTTCTAAAACATTTAAGAAGGACCAAGTTTATGGCAGGCTAGATAAGTTGCTGACTTTTCCCTTTCTTTATTAAATGAAAGACTACAGAGACCGTCTGTATAGAAGAGCCCCCATTCTGTCAAAGCCTCCTTAATGTAACCATGTAGGTTTGAGTGATTGCTTTCAGTCTGCCCATTAACACGTACGCATTAACCTCCACACACACACCCATTCACCCAAGCTCTCCCTCCTTTATTCCTTTTTCCTATGATGCATACCCACACCCAAGCCTTGCTCCCCTTCTCCACAACTCCCATTAACCCCCCCATGTCATATCTTATAACAATCCATGTTACACCATGTCCTTCCATTGATCTTGCGTTGATCGTCTCGTGCTCTCTCCATAGCTGGTCCTCCAGGCTCGTAATGTGCCCGATCTGTCAGTGGGGGTTAACTGCTCCTTCGAGGACTACGTGGAGACAGAGGGACGAATTCAGGGTGGACACATCTATTGCTTGTCTCCTTCTGCGAGGGACATCGCCCCCATCACCAGGAACAAAGGTCGGGACTTGAAACGTCGATGAGTGTGAAGTCATGGGGTAGTGAGGTCACCGTAGTAGCCAGCGTGTGGTCATAGACGTGTAGAAATGTCCGGGATATCTGCTTTCATTTGTGGGTCATTGTTTTTAGTAATGCCGAATAAAAAAAAAAAAAAAAAAGTCACAACTGGGTTTAGAATATTTTTTAACCATTTAGTAAGCTAAAATATTAAAGCAGGAATAGAGACAGCATCACACGTGTGTATGTAATTTTAGCCACTAAGGCTAGTGCTACTAAAACGGTAGTAATCCTTGTCTTAATGCTAAGATTACACAAAGGCTGCAACATTTCGATGTCTAGCATGTTCAAAAGGGTAAAACGAGGCAATGCTTGTTTTGCTTAGATCAGCCTTTCTGTTATCTTTTGAAAGTATTGCTCTCTCTCTGTGTTAATAAATCCCACTCATGTCACTTCAGGTCAGAAAGACAGCTTGATTCTGAATGTCTTCTTTCATTGCTGTGATTCCTCCAACTTTACTTTGAAGGTGTTAATAGTGAAAGAGGCAAACTTTGTGTCCTCCCATCAGTACTTTACTAACTTCTACACCAAAGAGTGTAGTGGTTGGGCTTTGGTTGGATGCTTTTGATGCAAAGATCAGACAAGTCCATTTCTAACTGGCTGATCACCTGTGAAGTCCAGCTTCAGTCATCAGACCATATCTGAGAGCATCTCTACCGAGGCCTCGTCGTCTAATCACAGTTTTTATTTAGATTTTCCTTTAAAGGTCTTTGGCGCTTTGAATTGACATGAAAAGCAAACACAGCTGATGTTATTTAAATCTATTCACTACCACCATGCTGTCCTGTCTCCAGCAGAACATGCATCCCATGTTCATGTACTGAAAATAGAAGTGCTTCTTTGAATTCTTAATGTCAGTTTCAGTTTGGCTTTCTTTGTATCTAAATGGCCATATTTTCTTGGTAACTTCTTTTCAAAGCACCAACCGTAGAGTTGTTTACCATCACAGTTAGAAATATCCTATATGTTAGGAAATTATTCACTGGCTTCATGTCCAATTTTGTCACACCCATAGAAGTCTTGCATCATATTCATATTCAAAGGACTAAAGTACCGTCAGAATGCGCTTGGTGACTCTTTAAAGAGACAACTCAGAAGATGTTCAGCCCATTATGTCCCATTATGGCTGCTCCTCATTGCTGGCATGCAAATGCTGATTGAGAGTGCTATTTATAAAGTCGCCCTACTGTGGAGAAATGGGAAGTGTGTTGCTATGCTACTGTGTCTGTGTATTATTCTTTAAGGTCAAACATCAGAAATGTAAAAGTGATGTACTGGATCAGTTCTGAAATTGTATAAAAATTATTTTTACATTTAATCTCACATAATTATGTGACTGTTTTAGTGGTTAAAGTTAAGACTTACTGGAACTTGAAAGGCATATTAAAGATCGTGAGCAAGTTCTGATATATTCTCTTTTGAATGCCATGCAGGGGACAAGCGGGTGGTGAAGCTCTACCTTAAGTCCAAGGAGACGGGCAAAAAGTTTGCCAGCGTTGACTTTGTCTTCTACAACTGCAGTGTCCACCAATCGTAAGTGAGAATGTTGGAATAGTTTTAACAAACAACATAGATGATGCTCACTTTCATTTGATTTAATGTAACTGCTTCAGTTCAGTTTTCAAGTGGAAGGATGTTTCATGTATAAAAAATGTAAAGAAAATTCATTGCAAAAACAAACAAAAAAGCTAAAGTTCAGTCAGTTTAGATGAAATAGATCAGAAGGGAAATAATCTGTCCTCCTCCCATTCACTTTGATCATCTTCCCTGTCCCTGTTGAAGAAAAACTTCACCCACGGCATGATGCTGCCACCACCATGGGGGTGGAGTGATGTGCATTATTTGCTTCCAGATGCATGACATTTAGCATATAAGCCATTTACTAGATTACGGTACTCCTTTTTACATACTGGGTGTGTTCCCTCATGACCTGTGGCAAATCTCTGACAGAATAATTCAGGATTCAGGATTTTATTTACTAATCAGGTCATCTTGGAAGGTTTCCTTCGTAGTTTGAAAAAGTGTTAAAAGAGAAAATAAGACGTGAAAGCGTGTATATATTATCAGTCTTCACTCTTTTCGTCATTCCTTTTTATTGGTCATTTGTTACTTTCTTGCTTGTATCCTCGTTTCCTTCCTCGTATCCTAAACCCTTCTTTCACTGTATCCATTTTCCCTTATCTCCTACCTCCCTCTCTCACTCTAGTTTTTCCTTTCTTTCTTTCCCTCCTTTGGTCATCTCTAATTATTTTGTATCCATTTGTAATAAATTAAAGTATTCCCTATTTTAATGTGGGCGCAATATAAAGTAAAGTCAGCAAAAGTTTAAGAATTTAGAAGCATTTGAAAGACAGTATTTGTTTTCTAACATTTCAGTCACCCTTGTTTGTCCTTCTGTCCTTATTAAGGTTAGTGGCTGTAAGACGAAAAAATAGATGCATTTAGTTTTTTCTCCTACTTCTTCTGAGATGTTTCTTTCTGCAGTCTCCCTATGGGCTTTCTCATGTCACACTTCATGAAACACATACATGAACATTCACACACACTAAAACGTTCTTTGTTTTTGTACATCTAGTGAGGACCATTCCATTGATTTTCCATTCATTTGTATCCCTTTCTAAGCCCTAACCTTTACAGTTAACTTAAACCAAACAATAACTAGTGACTATCTATCGTTAACCTAAACTCAAGTAAGACCTTCGTCTAAAACCTAACTGGTAACAAAAGAATATTAGGACCAGCAAAATGTCCAGTGGTCCTCAGTTCCATAGTGAAATCGGAGAAATGGTCCTCACTCTGATGCCAAAACAGAAACACACACTCACATAAATCTATTCCACCTTTTTAACCTCCACCAGAGGCTAGAGTTACATTCAAAGTGAAAAATCAAATGTGCCGTACATGACAAACATTTGGGTTTCAAGATGGAAACCAAACGCTTTTTATCATAAGCCACACCGCACTGCAATGATTCATTGATGATTTATTCATTACACTGTGGTCGATTGTAATTCCTCCCTGTAACACAATCTAATCTCATTTTTTACCTTAGAAAAATGCATTTAGCTTTTTAAAGCTTGCAATTACATTACAAATGTAATTGCTTCAACGCTCATTACTTGTTAATAAAACGTTGTTTTTAAATAAACCTTTGCTTGTTTACACCCCCTCATTGAAGATCTACCATACAGCTGCTCCCCTGCTTTAGCTCTTAGTTGACCATGATGCACCCCGTGGTAAACGAATCCTCTAGCTCTTCGACCCCACCCCACACGATACCATCCCTCCCGTCGATCTGTGGCTCATCCTCGGTAGGCAGAAACGTCTGCTGGGGTATTAGCCTTGGGGCAGCAGATGGCTCAGAGGCCCCTCGGGTGCAGGCAGGGCTCCGCTCTGGCTTCCCCTGGAAGCTGGATGAGCCTCCTTCGAGGATTGCCAACAAACACACAGCGTCATAGAAACAAGCATGCACAGCCACACCTTTCCCCACTGTGTCACTTAACCGACGCTGGATGTCTTAGACACCTAATCTGTTATTGTGACCTTTAACCCATTCGCCCCACTTCCCTGCTCTTGCAGACAAATCCTTTGCCTCAGAAAGATGATTAGCTCAGCTGGTTAAGGGTGTGGTGGTTTACGGTGTCGGATCATAGTTAAATTATCTCCCATGAGGACCTCAGTCCGTTTGCTCCATCTAGAGCAGCTCTCTCTATGTTTGTTTATGCTCAACGGTTTCAAATAAAAAGCACATAAAGAAATCCAGTTGCACTGCATGTTTTGCTGACGTGCCTTAAATTCTCTGTAACAACAAAGAAATAAAGGAAAAAAATGCAGCAATGAGAGCTGTCCATTAGAAGATATTCCCCCAATGAACTCTGATAATATCCACTCCCTGCACTGATCTAATACAACCTCTTAGTGATGTAATGGAGGCATTTAATGAAGTTACTGATCGGTCACGTCGCATCTTCTCCAATAACTCTGCTGGTGAAGTGAGATGTAGAGATAAGAATCCCAGTTTGAGCTGATAGTCTGTCCTGCGTACATTCAGAGGCCTTCCAGGTGTGGACTCCTATCAGATCAGAATGGTAAAGTCATTGACGCAATGCCCGCTCAGCCACATGCTCCACCTTGTTTTGAGAACCACATGTTGTTCCTAACTGCGCTCGGCTTACACTTAAATTAATTATAATTAAATACTGAAAACTCTGCATGAAAGGATTTAAAATGGTCTTTATAACTGAAAAAATTGTCAAAATGTAATCAGTCAATAGGAGAGGCTCATAATTTATCAGCCTTTAGGGATAATATGAGGTTAATAATGCAGAAATGTTAACCATAAGTGCTTAACATCATCTAATTGCTTTTATTGAACCACAAAAGCAAAAGTTATTCCTTCTGCTACAAAAATAGTGGGAATGTCACTACAATGTCACTATTTGGCATTGCAGTTGCGCTTATTTGTATTATATGGAAATAATGAATCTGTTTGCTGCTGTTGTGATGATTCTATAGTAAAGGTTTTTCTTTTGTTGGTCACTTATTTCAGAAAGGAAAACATGAATATACAGATTCATGATGCATATTAAATTACTTCAAGCTTGTATTTATTGTGATTTAATGATTATGTGTTGTGCATAATTAAAACCCTGAATTAAAGCTACAGTGTGTAATAATTACTGGGATATACAGTCAGAAATGTAATATATTATACATAACTATGTTATTTATCATCACCTATGAGCTCAGCCTCTTAACCTTAATATTTGCGTTGCCTTAGAATTCGTTATTTATAATTACATAGGAGCGGGTCTCGCAGCCATGGAGGCAGACATCTTTGCGCTACGGCAGCGCAGAGGCAACAAACTAGCGATTGCGAGATCGCCAAAATGTCACAACGATGTAGAAAAAATAACGGGTATATTTATTATCTTAAGTCTACATGAAATCTATACCCTACACAGACTAATGAAATACTATCTGTAAAATTATCTATGTAAACAAACCTCATCACTTGAGAAGGTAGGTGATGCGGACGTCGTGGAAGACATTTTGTCCCGTAACACTCGCCGTACTGTTGGGGGGGGAGAAGCGGTGGGGGGGAGATGTTCATGTTGCTGCAGTCTGCAGTCTGACCGCTAGATGTCGCTAAAAGTTACACACTGTAGCTTTAAGTGTTTCAGAAGTCCAATCGGCTAATTTTGTTGAAATCCCTGCCAAGGTTTCCTGAGCCTTGTGTCTCGGTGTGAGTTAGAAGGCTACAGAGATACAGGGAAGGCTGCTGAATACATAGGAGTCCAGAAAACATTGAGATCCTCCATAAACACGGCTAAGCCATAAAGGAGTTGGTTGTTCAGGGGGCTGTTTCAAATCATTATCATTATCGACCTGTAGCCTATACGGAATCTATGAAATCAAAAAGAATAAGAGAAACACCAGCCCTAACAATGCAGATGAAAGGGAGGCAGCTATGACATCAACCTGAACTTCCATTACACCTCCCTCTGTAGAACCACTGGCTTATCGCCTCCATGCCATGGCGCATTGTTGCAGTAATTGGACCAAAATGAGGCCTGACAGAATATTAAGTTAGTCTAAATCAGTGGTTCCCAAAGTGTGGGGCGCGCCCCCTAGGGGGGGCGCAATGCCATTGCAGGGGGGGCGCGGGAAGCGGTATGGATGAATGAAGAAAAAAAAAAAAAAAACAGCGCTTGCTTGACTGAGCATAATGGACAGTTGTGACACTGCAACCCAGGTTTGAGAAGATCTGCAGCAACAAGCAGGCTCACTACAGCCACTGAAAAGATGGGAGGATGAAAGTAGTGGAACTAGATTTGTTTCTCAACCATAAATAAATCCCAACCACCAATCTTTTTAGATATCTCAGTGGATGGATGTTGTTGCACAGCTTTTCGAGCACTTGCTCTTGCATCACATAAAAGGACTTTAAATAAACAGATTCAAATATGTTAACAGCTTGCCATAGTTTGACACTGAAAAGAAGTTATCCTCTGCCCATTGTCCCTGTTTTTTGCGGTGCATTTTTCCTCATACGCAATCCCCCTCCTCCTTATTTACTCAACAGATTACATCTAGGCCCCGTTGCCAGAAAAAAAAAAAAGCCATAAATTTGCATACTTGTATTAATCTAATTAGAATCCCAAGAGCGTAAGTTTAAGGGTTGCTGAGATTGAAACAGAAAATCACCCACGGCCATGATTACTGCTTAATTAAATATTTCCATATGCTTTCTTTTTTTTCTAACTCTACATCTCTGTGTTTAATAAAGACGTAGATACTGGAAATAGTTTAAAACTTAAGTGTAAGGATGAGGCCATATGGAGTGCCTATTCATGCTGTGGTCAGTTTGATTTGAAGCGGATCATTTCTCATTCTGTGTGATTTAGCGTCCTCCTAGACTCAAACTCCCTTTGGTACAAAGGTATTAGAAAAGATGAGCTGAAAAGGCTATGAGAACTATTAATTTTCATCCAAGCTCAACTCATACATGCAATAATGCCATTTGGTGCAGGAATATCGGGTCCCTTTTTTTCTTACCTTTGTCAAATAATGCAATTGATAGCTAGTTCCTTAGGAGAATTAAATAATTCAACCCCTTGCCTTTGAAATGAAAAGTATCCAATAAATAAGTCATTTTGCCATATGCTGGAGAGTCAAGTGTGTCTGACTGGAAGGACAGTTTGCATTTTGCCTTCCAAACTGACCAAGCAGACACCTTAGCAGAGAATCCGTCTATTGTGTTTGGCCTTGAAGAAACGATGCTAGTATGTCTCAATTAGCATCTGAATATGAAAAGCTTAAATTAACATTATGAGCGTGGGCACAAAGGGAGCATGTCTCCAGCTGCTCAAAGCCTCAGACTGGCTGCAGGCAATGGGAAAGGACATGAAGAGGCAATAAGGCTATGCTGTGGGGGTCTGAAAAATGGAACCCGCCCTTGATAAAAGGTGTCGCATTCACTCCAATGGAGCTGGGAGGGCTTTTTTCTCTGATGAGGGCTGCACCATGGCTGTAATAGAGACTTTGAAATGCGACGGCAATGCGTGACAAGGAGCCCCGCAATCGAAGAGTGGGCTGTGGGGGGTTTCTGCCGCCGGGCTTCCGATTGGACTCTTAATGGAACGGTCTTTTATTTCAGAAGTCATTCTTCTAAAAGTGAAAAGCAACACAGGCAGTCACCTGCTGGTATTTTTCTCATTATTTTAAACTCACCGCTACACTAACAAGCTTGATTTGACATGAATAAAAGATGTAAGTCGGATGAAAATGGTTGTTATCAGGCTAATGCTGCAGATGTGATGACTGATGTGGGCCGCTAACTGTACTTTGTATTGTTCGCTGTTTGATTTGAGTCACCTGCTGTTAAGTTGGTGTTGAAGTGTGTTTTGATGAACGCTGATCCCCCTGAGCCAGGCTCCTTTACATTCAGAGTTGTGATTGTTTGTGTTAACAAGCATCACAATGAGCCCAGCTAACTTGGATGTTTTGCTGATTAGTTTTGCTCCAGTATTATCTATAGGTGTAACACTGCATGCTGCTCAAAAGCAGTGTTGCCAACTTCAACGTATGAACAGATAACGCTTTGCATGGCCTCGTTAATGAGCTGCAATGGATATGAAACGCGTCAAATTCGCATTTTCTTTTGTTTTTCTTTATTTTTAGTTTTTAAGAGTTTGCCCAAAATTTGCATCACATTTTTATTGCAAGAAAGCAGAAAAAATTCACTTTTGGATCATTTAAAAAAAAGAATGTGTAACAAGTGTGTTATAATGAAAATTGCGGTAAGTGCTTAAGCTAAATAAACTTGGCTACCGTGGTAATCACTATATTTTCAGACTTTTCATACTTTCTTTAAAAAAACGACTATTGACAAGTTTCAAGATGTTTTCTATTGTTAATGAAACCTCTTGGACTCTCTTGGAAGGGAGTGTCCACGTGTCTCCCCAGCTGCAGCAGGACCAGGAGGTTTGCCATTTTAATCCAGAATCCAAATGAACGGTTTAAAGTAACTGCGTTCATTGTGCAGTGTAAATGTAAATCTGCATTCGTCTTAAATAACTAAAACCCTAATGATACCAAAACGGCATATTTAAACAAATCAGAGCTCGTTGTGGTTTAAGCTGATTTGCTACATCATCGCTGTGAAACGTAGTACTGCCTTTCTATCGGTACTGATCTTGTTTGTTGTATGGTGAAACTGTCCATCTTTCGTATTGTCCATTATAGTTACCTCCAAATGGACACTCAGCTACGTGATCATGTCATTTAACTTTATTTTTTTTAGGAAGAAGAGCCAATAGCTGTATAATAATGGATAACAAGCCCTGGGGCAAATTTTCCATTGTCGAAAAATAATGTGGTGTTTGATTTTGGTTGGAACATCCCTGCTAATGTTCCCATTTGTTTCTGTATTGACCAGCCATCTACCGTTTCTCAACTGGACCAAAATCCCAGCTCTCCTCTCTAAATCTGAGCACTGCATGCTAACCCGGCGTAGCCTAATCGCTTCCCCTCCATTTGTTGGCAACATTGACAAATCTCCTCTTTGCTCTTGTGTGGTATTAAGAGGCCTGTTATTTCCTTACCTGCACATCTTTTATTCTAAATGGACAGCTTCTGTCAGCACAATGCTAAATCGGTCAATTAAAGCGGCAGTGGGATTGAATTAAGCTCCAGCCTCTGATCTTGTTCAAAAGGAGGGGGTTTCTGGGCTGGAAATGATTACTTAAAGTGTGCACCTAACAAACGAGCGGCCCTAATTGATCCAAATGAATCCACGTCAGGGTTTGATGGATTCATACGTGGGTTCCATCTCAAAGCTCAAGAGTTAAAGCCCTCATTTTTCATGCGGATAAGGAAAAGGAAAGCTGGCATTTTACACAGGGTTAAAACACACTGGAGAGCTTGTCAGGAGGGTGAGTGTGCTTTTTTCAACCCAGAGAGATCCTCACAAATTTACACTTGGCAGATATGGTGGAATAGAAAGCAACCTGCTTACTATGTTATCTTTATTAAATGCACTATTTCACTGTTAGCCCAATAAAGCATGTGCTGACACAAATCCCTTGCTAAATAAAGCACAGAGATGAAATGGTAAAATTGAAGAGAGAGCCTTGCCCTTTAGTATGCTTTCCATTAACATGAAGCAGTTTTATTTGCTAACAAGTCATTATTTTATTAGCTGCAGACTAAGAATATATCTCCGCTCATTTGATATACTGCATACATAAACCTCTGTGACTCTATTGTACGAGTTTTCTTTAGATATGAGAGAGCACATATAGATCCATAATCATCGTCTGATATCCTAGATTATGTTTCATCTCTCTCCCACGAGAAAGTCCCCCCTCCCCTCTCTCTCACGATACCTGGCATATACACCCCTGTAAGGGGAATCCACCTGCTTTTTGATGTCCTCTCTTTTCGCCTCTCCCCTTTCTTTCGTCTTTCTCTTTCTGTCAGTCTATCAGCACCTGGCCTCTGCCAAAGTAGGGGAATTAAAAACGGTGGAGGGCTCTTAGCCCCACGGATGAAAGGGAGCTTTAGAGAAAGAACGAGGGGGACAAAGCAAATGGATGTGAGCAAATAGAGAAGTGGAGATGGGGAAAGATAAGGGAAGGTTCACAGCTTAGTGGATAGAAATTGTAACAGGAGAGCAACAATATGCAGAGTCGGGTGGTGAAGGCAAAGGGAAAATCAAGCAAGCTGGAAGTGATGAAGGGAAGCGATGAGAGGGAAGTTCAGGCAGGTTTTAAGGTTTAGAAATGGATGGGAAAAGAGAACATTTCATGGGTTGGTCGAAAGCAGAGAAAAATACCTTAATAATCCCTTATTTTTGCCACCTGCCATATTTCTTTAAAGATGGACAGTTATCTTTGAACAAAAAAAAATACAAAAACACCTTGAGAAGATTTATCAGTATGTTTTGAGCTGTCAAAAAAAAGTAGCGCACTTTGCTATCTGCATCCATCCATGATCTCCTTTAATCTTTGTTACAGCTGCCTATCCTGTGTGAATGGCTCCTTCCCATGCCATTGGTGCAAGTACCGCCACATGTGCACCCAGAATGCCTATGATTGCTCTTTCCAGGAAGGACGTGTCAACCATTCTGAGGTAAGAAGCCTAAAAATACTTGACTAAAGTGCCATTTATTCCAAATTCTGTTCACAATCAATGCACATAACTGCAGTTATAGCAACGTGAGCTTGGATAGTTCATCTGCACACGTCTCCCTCATCCTGTGTGCCTCGGGGTTTCCTCCCATCATCCTGCTGGGTGTCAGCTGTCTGTATGTGTAATATTGGCTTTTGGCACAGTGACAAAAGCTTGTGTACTGTGCAGCAATAATTCTGTCGTGGCCCATAAGGCCGTAAACAGGTTGGGATGAATGACTTTCTGTTGGAAATACCGCCTTGTTCTTACAAAGCCAAATGCTGCATTAGCATAAAAGCTAATATTAATCGTGCCAAGTGGCAGCGACTGCAGGCGTCATGTAAGGCATAGCAAGCATTTGTAAAGTGCTGTATTACATGCAGGGCTGGACACCAACCTGCATAGACGGGTGCAAAGTTTTCCAACATCAACCAGTGTTATAGCATCATTCAATTCTAAACTCCCCAGTGTCTGACGGTCACACCTGAGCTTTATCAGTCTTGGGCCTTAAACACACAAAACGTTATTCATCCCTGACTCTTTCTGCTTCTGGTTCAGCTCTCTGTTATCTACCGGCAGATTAAAGCTCCATCACTTGTCAAGCCAGGCCCAATAACTGGCCTTTATTAATTGCTCAGCCTTATAACTTATTGCTTTCTTCTTTATCTCATCTCTCAACTGAAGCTGTTGCTGAATCCTAAACACAGGCATGCTAAAACACAGCCTCTGTGCCCAGTGCGAATGGGACACGGCCAAGACTTCATGGTTCATAGGGTTGAAGCTGTTGGATTCCGGCCCCCGTTTGGAAGGCCAGAGGAGTGCACTGGTTAGAGCGTTGCGAAGCGGCTAAGGCCAGAGCAGAAGCACTGGCATAAACTCAGGCTTCCTGCATAGCCTGGAAGATTTCATTTCACCATTAGGAGATGAAAGGGAGAAATTAGGAATTTCTTTGTTATAAATAGAGCTTCACAAGTGTGATCATTAGAGCATCTCAGTTAGTTTTAGATCTAGTTGCTAGAGATCTTCCACCATTAGTCATCTTTTTGTGTTAATCCAATTTTTTTATGAAGTTAATCCAATTTTTTTTTATGTCTTTAAGCATCTGTCTTTAAGAGCTGCAGAAAGCATGGAATGCTGCTGATAGAAAACAGACTTAGAGGAAGGCAACATACGGGTCTCTATTTAGAGCTACTTTTAGGGGTTTATTTTACGTTCATTTAATAATAATACACAGCATATTGGAATATTTTTGGTAATACCCTTAAAGTAAAAAGTGTTTTATCTTAACATCTTAAATTCTGCTCCATGTTTTCAGGATTGATTGTGAATGATGTCACTTTTACTGTTTATCTCTTGGAGGTTACTGAAATGACTTGCTGACATTTAGAATAGTTTTTGCACCACTGTCTTTTTAAATTCTCTTTTTTATGATTTGAGACATGTAAACAAACCTGAAAGGTCATGGTTTATGTATAAGAGACATGTGCTGTTATTTCTTTTCAGCTTCTTTGTAAAAGACACACTCTGTCTATTCTTGTCTTGGTTTTTTATTTAAATATAATGAATCAACCAGGATGTTGTTTCTAATCTATGGGGGAGTGTTGGCCTAGTGGGTTAGAGCAGTGCGCTTGTGCTCTGAGAAGGTGTAAGACCCGAGTTTGATCCCCACAGCCTCCACTCTGGATCCCTGAGCAAGACCCTTTAATCCCACACTGCTAAATATGAACAAAAAACACCTTTTTGTTTATAATCCTGCTAAATATGAAAATGATAATCAACCTTCTAGCTGGTAGGGCTGAATAATCTGGAGCTTTAGCCTTCCTGTTATTCTCTAAAGCTTCAATCTCTTTCTTACCAAGAAAAAAACCCAGAGACATCAGTGGGTCACATGCCTCTTAAAGGACACATCTTTGTTTTCTGCTACCTTATTTTAATATCTTAAAACAGCTAGATTATGTTGTCTTCAGTCGTTAACAGCTTGTATACAGCAGGATGTTAATGTGACCTATATATGATATTTCTGGAGGCATAAAAAAAGAAAATGTATATTCTTAATGAAAGCTAAGTTCAGAACTTGAATCTTGAAATCCTGCATGCCTAAAAGTATCTGACTGCATCATTTCAAGAATAAATACCTTTTTAGTTAATCACGCAACACAAATTACAGATTATCTTGGTTGTTCATTCAAATCTCACAGTATATGGCAGTCATTTTTCAAATGGCAAAAGAATAAACACAAAGGTCTTTGTGTCAATTGAGATGAGACTAATAAAAGTAGAGGATGATGAAGTTATTAGGGGGGAAGATGACGGCAGTAGTGGACTGAGCAGCTGATGATGGCATTTAGAGGCAGAGACCCGTTTCCACATCTCGTCTACCTGAGAAACCAGCGACCACATGCTCCCACTGAGACTGCATCACACATCTGCTATGCTCTGTGCCTTTCATGCACAAGATTGTCAACAATCGTACAGTAACCTGCATATACCCACACACATACACACACACAGTCATTTATCATCCTTCTCTTAGCTGCCACATCCATTAGTTGCGCCCTCAGTGCCCCAACGAGAAATGCTATTCCTGAAGGCTTGGCTTATCCTCTTTCTCCTGCTGCTCCTCTCCAGGGCAGCGCTCGTCTCTCCCCACCTCATCCTTCACCACTTTGATGCTCAGTCACCTCATCTTTTTCTCATTCTTCTTCCTCTCTACTGTTCTGTTCTATTTTTTTTTTATTTGTGTTGTGAAGGTATCGATAAATAGAACAGAAATGTGCTGTTTGCTTCTTAGCGGTTTTCGTCGTTTTTCTCTCCTGTTAGCAACTCTTAGAGTTAAAGCAGAAGTTTATATTGATGCTCGGATAGAGGTGAGTCTAACATTAATTTACTTTAAGTTCAGTTTAAAGTCAAAGTCTCTGATTATATAGATTCTTTACACACAAAGGAATATATTTCAAGTGTAGTTCTGTAAATATTTAATAATTATTGCTTACAGCTAATAAAAGAGACATAAAAAAATGTTATATAATGATGGGATGTGGGCCTACAGGTGTGTCCATGTTCCGTCTCACTTTGTTAGAGCTATTTCTAATGAATAATGGCGTCAGAGATGCAATGCTATGAAGGTTTTCGGTCTGTGGCTGTGCTGAGGCCCTTTTCGGTTCAATATCAGCCTTCAGCGCTTGTGCATAAGGTGTCGTGGTGTTTCTCTTCCTGACTCGACTCCATAGATGGATCGCAGCAGTTTGGTGGCCAGTTAAGCTCTGAGATACCGTGGTCTTTACATAAGGAATGGGGACTTTTAGCAGCTGCTCATTTCTGCTAGTTTAGATTATTTATCTATAGATTATTATTTGTTTTTGCTCAAAAGCAACCTAGTACAAGTGATTATGGATTTTGAAGCCCCAGAAATGTCTGTGGGATGTGTATTTTGGCAAGATTAGCTGCAGTAAAAAAAAAAAGAAATATATATATATATATATATATATATATATATATATATATATATATATATATATATATATATATATATATATATATATATATATATATATAATGCCCTTTATTAGCACATTGTTTTCCCTCCACTTTACTTTTACATCAATCCTTGCATATAAAGCTGTCTACCTTCTTTAGCAATGAACTAGCATACATACCTAGTGGACGGTTTTCAAAAACTATCAGGCATTTTTTCTTATCAAAAATATATTTTTATTTTGCCTAATATTCTTTTGTTTAAAGAAACTAACTGTGAAAGCAAATCCAAAGTCATTTTCAGCACCTCAAACTGCTACACAGAACCGAAAGGCTTCAGAAGGAAAAATAAAACAACAAAGTGACTTTGTTAAGGACGGACAATGACATCGAGCAGACTGTTTTTATTCAGTATCGCAGCCTTAACATGAACCATAATCATCAAATGAACACCAAAGAACTCGACATATTTGTATGTATGAAATTATTCCATGCAAGATATGAATTTTTCCTTTTTTTTCCATTGAACTACTGAGATGGCCTTGTATATGTGAACATTTGATTATGACTTTAGATGATCTTTTATCCAGCTTCATCCTGAATACAAACAGCTCTCCTGATGGCACATATTTCCGCTCAGACCTTTACCGCCCTCACCTGTAGATGAGAGCATTAGATTGGGCTCATTGTCAGACGGTGATCAAAGACCTGATAGAGCGTTCACCGAGGGGTTGAGTGGTGGATGCTCCTCCCCTATGACTCTGACTGGTGTTGGACTGACTAGACAGTACTGTTAAGATAAAAGGATGGAGCTAGCAAATGAATTATAAATGTTGGATGTTCCCCTTTTTTTTTCAACCCAGCCTTTATTATTCTGCTGCGCTTGTATTGTTTTTTTTTTTTTTTTACAAGATCTACAGCTCAATGTAATGCAGAATTTTAGTGTAGTAAATATTAGAAATTCAAAAGGTAGCATGTCCAAAATCTTTTTGTTGTTGCTTTTTTTTTTAGCCTTAATTCACCCTTTTATTCCCCCATGAATGCTTTTGCAAAATTGGTAATTACTTATTTCATTTGCATTCCCGCAGTAATAACGATAAAAAGGTTTATTTATGTTTTTCTGAACAGAACGTGTCAAAAGACAGGCGGAAACAGTAGGAAAGTCATGGACTGATAGAGTAAGCGGGGAGAAAATATGTATGAGTGACATTTCTAAATCAAATATGCATGAATCAACAAAGCCTCCAAATGGCACAACAAACAAATTCTTGAATTAACGAGCGACGAGGTGGAAAATTGCAAGAGTGGAATTAAAGTGACTTTATCATAGAAACAAAAAAAAAAAAAAAAAAAAAAGCTGAAGGGAGAATTAAGGAAGAGAATAAAGGACTCCACTTGTTGATTTCTTTCTTTTCTCCTATTTTTCTTCGCTTTGCTTTCTGTCTTTCATTGTTCCTTGATTGCCATCTCTTGCTCAACTTTTTCCT